TTATCCTTCAAGACCTTTCAAGTCCTAAATGCTACTTCATGCATGAAGCCTTCCATGATTCCTCTAATCAGACTTCCCTTAGTTTTCACTTAGCATTTTATATTTCTCTGCTATATTTATGTTCTACTTTTTATAAATTATTTGTGTATGTGCTGTATCTCTCTTTCAGAGTGTAAACTCTTTTCAGGGTAGAGTTAGTTTTCTTATTTACCTTTTCTCTCTTCCAGTGCCTAACAACATGCCTTCAGCATGGTTGAATGCTTAATATTTGTGGAGTTGAACTGAATAGTCTCAGAGCCCTTAAAGAAAATTTCATTAAAGATGCAGGTCCCAAAGTTGAACACATATTTCATGAAAATGGGCCTAGGGAAGAGACACTAGAATAGTATTGTGCTTTCTGGGATCCAAGGGCCCAATGGTTGAATTGCCTGATGGGACAGTAATTTATGGTTCAATGCCACTTTGGAAGGAGGGCTTTAGTAGCATTCCCTCAGAATTTGTTCTCAGTTTGTGCTATTTACCAATTTTATCATTGATTTTTCTAGATGACAGACTTGGGAGGGATAAGCTCACATCTTAGGTATCAGAGTCAGGATTCAAAAAGGTTTAGACAGGTTAGAATCTTAAACCAAATTGAATAAAGTTAACTTAAAGTTTAATGGTGACATTTGTAAAGTTCTACAGTTGGGCTCAAAAAATCAACTGAAAGCATAAGATGGGGGAAGAAAGCATTGGGGGTTTTAGTGGACTTTGAGCCTATTATAGACAGTGTGTTATGGCAGCCAAAAAAAATTAACGCGGTGTTAGGCTGATTTGAAAGGTATAGTATTCAGAACTAGGGAGATCATACCATTGCACTGTGACTTGTTAGAGACCATCTGCAAAATGTCATGTGAGGTATCAGGATCCACTTTTAGGGAGGACAAGGATAAAGCTGTCCAGAAAAAGGACAACTAGGATTATGTGCCTTGAATTCATGACAGATGAAGACAAAATGAAGGAAATGGGGATGTTTAGCCTGGAGAAGACTCGATGGAGACGTGAAAGTTGTCTCCAAGTAGATGAGGGTTTGGTTTTATTCTGATTGGCCTCAATGAACAGAAATAAGAGCAATGAGTGAAATTGAAAGAGAGGCAAATTTAGGCTTGAACTATCTCCTGAGATGGATTCTCTCTCCCTGGGGATCTTCAGGTGAGATTTGCTCAATGACCATTTGTTGGGCTTGTTGTAGGAAGGGGTTCTGGTTCAAATGTGAATTGGAGTAAATGACTTCTGAGGTCCCCTCCACCTCTATGGAGTCTCCAATTCTGTGACATCTCTGTCTCCCCACCTAGGTCACTAAAGAGACCCTCCAGAAATTTGGTCAAGATAGGAAAGATAATCTGAAATCACTGAAAGCATTGTGGAGTTTCCCAAGTGTGATGGATTCTGATTTCCTCCTACACAATTCTGGAATCAGCTCAGTGTCCACTTAGCAGTGCTGGTCCAAGATACGTACATACGTACATACAAAAATACATACATACATACATACATACATACATAGCTACATATGGAGATTTTCATTAATAGACTAACTTCATGAACCTCTTTCTGCTGTGTCATAACCTCAGCAATGTAGATTTTTCATTTTTTTTCAGTGTAAATAAGTCAATTCATTTCACATTTCTGGGCATTTTATGAAGAGCTTGATATAATTAGTGTGATGATGTTATTTGAGAATAGCAGCATTTGTTGACATTCACCATTAATAAAGAATCCTACTTTGTTCAGATTTTGCATGGAACATTTTTCATGAAACTGGAGAATACCTTAGGTGGGGCACATGCTGTACAATTTGATACTTCCTTCATTGTTCACATCAAAGAACAAAGTTATCTTCACAGTTTCATCCATCGTCATACATAATTTTCTCATATGCATAGGAGACATCTTGTTTTTAAAAAGTGAGGCTTCATGGCTTGTGTTTTATAGTCTAAATCATTTAAAAAATAAACTACAGACAAAGAGGGATCATATGCTCTTTAATCCTCTCAGGAAGATGTGTGACTATAAGGTATGTAGGAGCTGTAGAAAATCACCAGCAAGTATCCTTTTCATTTCTTATGGTATTTTTTTTAAATCAAGGATACATTTGATGACTGAATAGATCCTTCTCACAAAGACTTTATAGAATTACACAACATAATTCCCTAAATTATATAGAATTTTCTAGAAGGTAGAGGCATATAATCTGATCGTTGTTTTCTTCCCTTTCTTGGCAGCCCTCTAAATTTTTTCTTTTTTTGGAATCTTATCCCCTTCGATGACTTTGGAATGTTGCCACCTTTGTAGCTGACTCTGAATTGATCTAAAACCATTACTTGTTTGCCTGCTCAGAGGTAGTTCAGAGGCAGCAAGGAGATAATGGAGAGCCAATCCTTACAGGATTATAGAATCACAAATTAGAAGCATAAGTGGCCTCATAGGTTGGCTAGGGACCTTCATCTTACAGATGAAGAAACGGAGGCAAGGGAGAATTTACACAAGGTCACATAGGTAGGAAGCACTAGAGTTGGAATTTGAACCCAGGTTCTCTGACTCCAGAGGTGCCTTTTCCACTGAGTTCAAGATCTTTGACATAGAATAAGTATGGGACTTTAGCCAATCCACTCAATTTCTCAGGGCCCCACACAACTTAATGGCAACATTGGTAGATGAGTTGCCTGTGTATAAATGGAAGGAATTTCCAAAAATGGAAGCAAGCGTTTGTTAAGTATTATGTGCCAGACATTGTACTAAGTGCTGGGAATACACAGTCCCTGCCCTCAAGGAGCATACTTTGTAACGGGGGAAGACATCTCTCAAAAGGGACCAGAAAGGAGATGCAGGGTCATGATTTGGGGGCATGGTTTTAAAGTCCCAAAGCCAGTAGCAAAGCTCAGAGAAGAATGAAAGCTGCCCTGGGCAACTCTACAAAATGGAGGCTCTGGGAGGAACCCACCAATGAAATTATTTCTTGCCTCCAAAAAAGAACAATTTCATTAAAATTTTTTTTTCTCAGTTCTTTAAGTGACTTCTAATTCTTTTGCTAATGTTCAAGTATCATTCCAGAGTAGGCTATAATTGTGCATGTGGCTTCTTTCACTTCTTGTTCAAGAGCTATATTTTCCAACGCTAGGCTTGTATTCTCCTTGAAATTAATGAGTATATCATGGCACATTGCTGACTTACTTAAGAATGTCTTGTCAAGTCTTGGTAGACTTTTCCACATCATCTTTTGCAATGTGTGTTGGGACATAAATTATAATTGTTCTTTATAGCAGCCTCTTTGCTCGTGCTCATCATAGGCGATGCCAGGCAAGATTATCAAGTGTTTCTGATAACGATGTTTCTCGTCTTTTAGCATAAGATGAAACTATTTCCATCAACTCCAAGGAAAAGCTGTGGGCTAGCTTTCATTACATTTAAGTCTTTAAGATTCATTTATAGCAAAAATACAAATATGTGTGTAATGTAATTTCTCCAGGAGAAAGAACAACAGAAGCTACACAGAACTGAAATGATTGTGAATTTTTGTCCATTTCATGGGTCACCTTGGGCAAAAAAACCAAAACCAAAACCAAAACCCTCATCTGGAGGCCAGATTGTTGACAAACTTGTGTTTTTTTTTTTTTTTGGTGAGGCAATTGGGTGAAGTGACTTGCCCAGGGTCACACAGCTAGTAAATGTGAAGTGTCTGAGGCTGAATTTGAACTGAGGTCTTTCTGAATCCACGGCTGGTGCTCTACCCACTGCAAGATCTAGCTGCCCCCCAAACCATTCTATTTTTAATGAGGTTAGTCCTTGGACAACAAATATATAATTTGTTGTTGTTTCCATGGTTGAAGCTGAATAGAACTTGCCTTTCACTCACACAGCCTTTGAAAACCCATGGTTCATCTGTATGTCATGACTGAGCACTGGAGTGGGATTCTTGGGGAGGTCCATTTTCCTTACTCATATCAAAGGTCTCAGGACCTTGGGATTAATTTTGTTAAGAAAAAAATCCTTTAAAAAATAGAAGTGGGGGACAGCTAGGTGGCACAGTGGATAGAGCACTGGCCCTGGATTCAGGAGGACCTGAGTTCAAATCCGGCCTGAGACACATAACACTTACTAGCTGTGTGACCCTGGGCAAATCACTTAACGCCATTGCCTAGCCAAAAAAAAAAATAAAGGTAATGGCAAAAGCCATCTCCCCCCCCCCCCCCCATAGCAAGGATAAGACCTTTCCTATTTCTCTTGCACTGGGAAGAGGGTAGATGGGTGGGGGGGTGAGAAACTTAATCCCCGCCTATAGATTTAGCCCTGATTCCACACCTAGGTAAGGAGAATATGATGTTCCTGGATGCAACCTCAAATCAGCTTTGCTGATGGCCCTTCGCTGAACTGTTCTTTTTTGTTCGCTTTGGTAATCAAGGCCCTATTTTATGCTCCAGTCCCAGCAACTTGTTTTATCCACTCTCTGTTTGAAATATATTGCATGTACCATGGTTTCTCTAGGATTGGTCCTGTCTTCTACTCCTCCAGTTCTTCCAGGAACAAAAACAGAGGTTCTTAACCTTATTTTTAATGTCAAGGTCTCCCTTGGCAGTCTGGTAAAGCCTATTTATCCCTTCTCAGAATATTTTTAAATGCATAAAATGAAATACATAGGATCACAAAGGAAATCAAATAACTGAACTCTAGCCTCCATGACTGGGTCTCTACTACCTGCTGCCTATTCTTTCCAGTGCTCTCCCATTTAGAGTCCCCCTTTTCCCACTGCCTCACCTTCTCTCATGCACCTACCCCTACTCCCATTCTGGCCATCCTTTACTTGATCCATCCTACCATCATCAACCAGGCCTTCTTTCTAAACGTCCTCCATTCTTAAGAAAATGGGCAGAGAAATGACTGTGGGATATATTAGGTAGAAAGAAAACACTAGAAAAAAACCCCAAAGGCATAAAAGGCATCAATTTAGCACCAGAATCTATTTTAGAGGTCTTTTAGTCTAACTTCCTTTCTTTACAGAGAAGGAAACTCATGCCCAAGGTCACACAGGGAGGAATTAGCAGAGTCACTATTTGTACCTAGATTCTCTGAGTCTAAATCCAATTCCCTTTTTAAAAACTGTAACACAGTTAATGGCTGCCATCAGTGGAACCCCCTTACTTGCCTTCCCATGCTTCCTTTCTTCCCTCTTATTCTAGATCCCAAGGAGACAATAAGCCACTCTACTCATCTCCAGTGTGAACTTACCACTTGAGACTCTGTCCTTCATTTTGGTTATTTTTCTTAATACTTTATATTTTTGCCTTTTTAACATCACAATAATTTTTTTCCACTATGAAACCCTTTCCCTCCTCTACCCCTACCCGGTGATTTCTCTCTTATAACAAAGCAAAATTCTAACTAAAATGAAATGACAAAGCAACCATGTCTGGTAGTATATGCAACATTCCATACCTGTAGTTCCCTGAAAGTCTACTGAAAGGAGAGAGAAATTTCCTTCTTATTTCTCTGGGGTCAAGAATGAAATTAATCTGGACCCATCTGCCCTTTATTTTCCTGAAAAATTATGGAGCAGACAATGGAACTCTTTGCTTTGAGAGTGTGCCTTATAACTAACAGTAATGAACTCAGTTTAAAACCTAGGACTGGAGGTAAAAATTTCAAGATCGATCCCTTTACTCTTTCTTAACTAAAACAAATTAATAAAAATAAAATAGATCTCTGAGGAAGGAGGGATTCTTTGTTTTTGAGAGGGGGCAGGATTAATTTGTCTAGATAGGATTAACATTTATGAATGATATCCTGTGTCAATGGCATTCATAGTAATAATAATGCCTTATATTTGAATCAACTGTGAAATGGAAACATTTTCTATTTTTCAAAATACTTTCCCAAATATTATCTCATTTGATGCAAGTACGATGATCCAGATATTATTTCCATTTCACAGATGCAGAAATAGGCTTAGAAAGATTAAGTTGTCTTGACCGAAATCATATAGTTATATATAGCGGCTGAGCCAAGATTAGAACCCATGCCTCCTGATTCAAGCGGAATACTCTTTCAGAAACAATTACTGAATGTAGAAACATCCTGCTCTGGTGGTAAGGCCAGGCTCAAACACAGCAGCAGATCTGCTGCCCATCATTCTGTGTAGGCATTGTCTTTCCATTTGCACTCAGAATAGCCATCCCTGCCATTCCCAGGCTGGTGGTGCCTGATGCCTCTTCTTGCTGATGCCAAAGCATCCCAGTTCTCACCTGTAAAAAATCCATCCATGTTAGGTGCCTCCTGAGCACTGGTCTGACTCTGTCAGGTGTATTATGTGACTAGTGAGTTGACTTTAGTGATGTCAGAGTGTTTTTGTCTGAAGGGAAAAAAGAACAGTCAGTTAATTGCAACAGGGAGGCTGGTTGTAGCACTAACCTTCTAGACCACTCCCCTTCAGGAGGCTCAAGCCCTACCTTGACCCTCTAGGGAGCAGAGTCCCAAAGGTGTTGATCTACTTCTCAGGTGCTAGGCCCAGCTAATAACTATTGAGAGCTCGGTAGCTCTGAGCCTCCTCTGCACACTGCAGCAGTTCTCAAACGATGGAAGGGCTCAACTTTTCTCCAAAACCTGCCTATGTCTTAGGCTTGGGACTCTGACAGAGCTGAACCAGGTCAGCAGAGACTGACCTGAATTTCCAAAGGCATCAGCAGCCCCTTCTTGTTCTTTTCTTCTCTTTCAAGCTTGATGCTAAAATTCTCTTCTTCCTTCACCGGTTCTCTTGAGTGATGTGTAAAGTGAGAGACGAGCAGTATTAGGATCATATATGACTTGAGAACATTTGGGGTTCTCTTCTCACAGAAGGGCTCTGGCTCTTGGCCTAGTTTTTCAGAACCTGGTTAGATTAGTCCTGATGGGAGCTACTTAGTGTTGGTAATCAGGCCAAGGACTACCACAGAGGGACCCCTTTCCTTCTGTAATTGACCTGTCTCTGGAAATGGTTCCCAGCTCCCTAGGTATCCCATTTCATTCACAAGGCAGAATGGGGTGGGAGTGGTTGGGGACTAGACTTTGTCTTCTATTTGTTACATGAAGAATTGGATTTCAGCTGTGAAACTAAGGTCCATGGGAAACAAAGCCTCTTCTTGGGATAAAAGAAGGCTTCCCCATCCCCAACCACACTCTTCTATTCAGAGATAAGGCAACTCAGATTCAAAGGGGGTCCCCCAGTTTTGCCTACCCTATTGACTGGAAGGTGCTTGTCCGTTTTCTCTTCTGGGACATGCTGCTAGATGAAGCTAAAGATAAATAAAAGTTCCCATCAGAGCCCATGGAGAGGAAGTAGTGATTATTGAGGGTATCAGGTTTGGGAAGGACCTTTGTCAACACAATTAATCTGGAAAAGCAGTCGGTGCAGATGTCAGACCCTCCCTGTGAGTTGCAAGGGGGAGCTTGGGTGTGAACGTCGGACCGAGCAGCAGTGGCTAGGCTCTGGGAATGTGGAGGTGGAGCAAGGCAGTTGGAAGGTGGTAGCAGAGGACCCAGTTCAACTCACGGGTCCTTTTCAGTCCATGTGAGCTTTCCTCAGTACCCAGATGTCATATGATCAAACCAGAACAAATCTGGAGAAAGTGGACTAGGTGTCTCTTCTCCAGGGGTGGCAGCATCTCTTCCCAGTGAAGATGCTTTGTCAGTGAGGGATGGGATTACTGAGAACTTGGCTGTTCTTGCAATAACATGGCATCATTCAAAGAGTATTGAACTTGGAGACAGGAACTTTGGGTTCCAGCTCCGGCTTTGCAGGTAAATGACTGTGCGACCTTGGACAAGTCACTTAATCTTAGTCTCCCTCAGTATAAAATGAGGGAGTTGGATAAGTTGATCTCTAAAACTTCTGCTCTAAAATTTAGACTCCCTAAGTCTGAACTTTGCTTATATCTTCCTCTCTAGAGTCAAATGTCTTACATTGGAACACCAAAGAATTAATTCTTTTCCAGAAAGTACTTTGAATTGGGAGGGAGAAGACTTGAGCAGGGGCATCCTGTTGACCAAAGAGAGGGGTGGGAACAAGGTAGCTTGGAATCTTTCAGGCTTCTTCCTTCCCATCAGGTTAGTCTTGACTAAGGTTTATCTTAGTTTGTGCTTCTCTTCTCCCCCCACCCCATGCCACATTTATTAAATGAATGCTAGTAGTAATAACTCACTTTGGTGTTTGTAAAGTGCTTCTGTCACAATGACCTTGAATATTAGGTAGTACAAATATTGTATCATTATCCCAATTTTATAGATTTTGTTGTTCAGTTATTTTTTCAGTCATGCCTTACTCTCTATCACCCATTTGGGGTTTTCTTGGCAAAGATACTAGAGTGGTTTGCCATTTCCTCCTCTATATCATTTTACAGCTGAGGAAACTGAGGCAAACAGGTTGAAGTGACTTGTCCATGTTTGAGGCCATATTTGAACTCAGGAGATGAGCCTTCCTGACTCCAGACTGGGACTCTATCCATTGCACATTCACTTATCTAATATTTGTTGACCAACCTCAGGGGTCTTGACTGCCTATAGAAGATGTTATATTCAAACATAGACAAGGACTAGCCCATTTGGGTCCAACCCATCTAAGCATCATTACCAGGATCATCACTCAGTAGGCTAGCCACTGGGTGATGAATTATTTGGCCATCACAACCTTGGCATCATAGATGGCAGTGGCAGACCTAGAGGCAGGAAAATCAGGGTTATAATCTTTCCTGAGCCATGTTATAGTTTTGCCAGGGTTATCTTTTCCTATGTTTTGCAAGTCGTTTAACTCCTGATCCAATGAGGATAATAGCACCTACATCTCATATTTTTGTTGTGAGAATCAAAATAAGGTCATCGGCATTAAGCAATTTTCAAACCTTAAAGAGCTGTAGAAATATCAACTAAACCTATGAAACAAAGACAAATCCTCACATAACAGTGAGAAGCTGGGAAGGGAAAAAATGAGATTGTAGAAAGGTTTGCATGATAGCAAATTAAGTCAGATTATCCCAAGAGCAGATGGCAACAGAGAGCCAATGAGGAACTTCAAAGGAGAACTCAAATAAAAGAAGCCCTCAGGGGTTATACAATTAATCCTATATCAGGATTTCAGATGGAGAGCCATCCTGCTCCACTGGTGCCTTTGCAAAGGTTGGGAGGAAATAGTATGGCTCCAGCACGCTGTGAGAAGTGATATTGTTTGGGAAATGGGGGAGGAAGTGAGCAAGAATCATAATAGATGGCAGGCATGGATGGATAGGTTGTGCTCTGTGCTTGACAAGGGAGTTCCCAAATTGAGGGGATCAATTAATTTGCCTATTTGGAATCCCAAGGGTATTTAAGGATAAAACTGGAAGAAAGATAAAAGGAATGAAAATGGAACAAAAATGTCTCTATCTTTCTATGAGAAACAATTTTTTCCTTCAATAACAATACACAGAGGAAAAGCTTGGTGAAGGTGACACAATTTTAAGAGCACTGAGGATCAGCTTTTGGGATATCTGAAAGACAAATTAATAATTGGGAGGGAGAATTTCAAATGTCATTCCTGTAGAAAAATGGTGACCACCTGACTACATCAATTACCACCAAAACCCGTACCTACTTTCTCATCTCTACAAAATCTTTGAGAATGATTTATACTTGTTTCAACAGTATTCTTGATTAAAAAAAAGATGAGATGGGAAGAGGCAAATTGTCACAAGTAGTTCATAACTAAGTCAAGACATCACCCATGATGCAGTTGGTCCTCTTCAAAAACAAAGAATAAACAATAACAACAATAGGAGATTGTAACTTTAGAGTCATTCAACTGACTGATAGATGCAGAGAACATAAGATCCCATTGGACTTATTACTGGATGATTAAAAAAAAGCATTTGATTAGTAGAGCAAATGGAGCTTAAAAGCCTCTCCTCCAATGATGTGTCTCTCCCATGAGTAAGTAGAGATTATACAAGATTTTTATGATAGATGTAATAATGGAGATGATTGTTCCATAATCCTCTAATTATTAATATCAAGGTATAAAATAGGGAGATAAGACTTACCAATGTTTGCCATTATTATGGAGAACATTCATCATAGACTTCCTATGGAAGAGAGATTCCCTACAGACAATGAGGTTCTCCAGATTCCCTAGTTTGTGGATACCATTGTGCTAATTATATTCAACCCTGGAACATTTCAGAGTCTCCTAAATGAGATTCATTTAACTGCCAAAGGATTTGGCTTAACCCTCTGTACAGTAAAATGAAAGTAGATGAAGAATCCCCCATGGTCCAAGCTATAATATGCAGTTAGATAGACAGTTCATTGAGCTAATTCAGCAGTATAACATGTCTAGGACAGAAACTATAAACAGATAATAAATTAAGCCCAGAATTAAATGGAAAGAAGAAAGCAAGTGTGACTGCATTTTGGAAATTCTGTAGCATTTTCAAAGAGCTAAGCTTTTCCCTGAAACAAAAACTTACCTTTTTATCACAAATATTTTCCCAGTAATGGTATTTAGGTGACAAGCATAGAACACTATAGTTTCTGAAGAATAAATATTTCAGATCACCCAAAGGGCTTTGGAGTGATGGTATAAATAGTCTTCAGCACATTACCTATCTATGATAGCCCCACCCCAGGTAGGCTTGGCAGTCCCCCTGCAGGAGAGCCCATATGATCGTGCATTTCTGTAGAGAGATATGACTCCTGAATGAGAGAGAAAGCAAAAGGAAAGGGGGGGAAAGTAAGATAGGAAGAGAGTGAGGGAGAAAGAGAGAAAAGGAGGGGGAAGAAAGGGTGAGGCACAGACTGTGAATAGAAAAACAGGAGACCCCCCCAAATCTGTAGGCATATGAGGAAAAACTGGAGCCCCAAACACGTCCTTCAATTCCTAGGGTATGCAACACCAGAGACCACCAAGGGGAGACTCATAGGGTAAGACAGTTGTTACCCTGGTTGTGCTGAGATTTCTGGGGTCAAAGAGTGTCCTGACTCTTATATATGCTAGCACTTAACCTGTATGGCTTCCCTAATTTGTTTTACCAGCTTGTTTTGACTTCAAATATATGCAAAAAGCATCACAAAAGATATCAAAGAGACGGAAAAGGAAGTGAACCAATCATGTAGAAAGAATAAGGGGAAAAGGTGATTTACACTCACATAATGTCAAGAGACCTAGGATGAGGGCCCTAGGACACTGAGCAAAACCTCTTGTGAATAATGTATAGGAGGATATGATCAAGAGTCACACAGGATGAGAGAGAGAGAGAGAGAGAGAGAGAGAGAGAGAGAGAGAGAGAGAGTGTATGTGTGTGTGTGTGTGTGTGTGAATGAATTGTGACCTTGCACTATTGGAAGGAATGCCCACAATGATGAGATTACAGAGCTGTTGAAAAAAGGAAGACCAAGTCACTGTCTTCTTTAAAATGACAAGTTTAGTCAAGAAAGATCAATGCTAAAAAAGCAAAAGCTATATCAATCTAAGTAACAGAGATCAATATATGGACATACTAGGAAAACAATATGCCATCTGTCTTATTAGAGAAGATGTGACTCTAGATAGATTATTAAAGAGAGGAGAAAGACATAGCCTTTCAGTACAAAGAGAAGAGTTCTAGACACTAATAAAGATATGAACTAAGGACAGCAGCTGAAACAGGGAGGAGAGGCACACAGATGAAACTTACTGCATTAGGAGAGATGGATAAGACAATGCTGAACGAGGAGCAAGTTGGAAAGGAACTCTCCAGTGACAGACATAAGGGATAAAATCTTAAGCATAACGTGTAGGAAGATGGGTACACTAATTGTAAGGCTTTTGATAGGTACTTACCATGTTCAAAATAATGGAAATGGAAGACATTCTTGTGGGTGGCATTCACCACAACCAAGAACCAGGTGAAAGTGGGGGAGGCTAGTGAAGAGGGTATACCTGTTCAAGCATGGGCTAGCTGACTACTCGGCAAGGAGGCTATGATGGGAATTCCTACTTTTGTTACGTGTTGGGCTAGTGAGTTCTGAGCTCCCTTCCAACTCTGAGGTTCTGTGATGCTAAGGTTGTTATGTTAGATGATGTCCATTCAACTGTCCAGTCAACTGGCCTATCCCAGGTAAAGGTTAAGGGTCAGGCCACCAGCAGTAAGTAGCAGCAATTCTTCTCTTGAGGAGTAGAGGCAAGCAAAATGGTTGTCAATATGTCAATTTGGGGTCCAAACAGAGAGTTGAAGGGAGGGAGTTTTCATGCCAAGGAAGGCAGTAAAAGCATGAATCAGGAAGTTCAGACCAGGTAGGATGCACAAGAGTAGTAAGGGTTAGGGGCTAAGAGAAGAATGGAGCATTAGCATGAACTTAAGGGTCAGAAAGGCAAAGATAGGAACTCTACACTACCAACTTAATTGACAATTCACTATGCTTAGCTTATCTTCTAGAATGAATTCCTTTTATGGTGGGCTGGCATATAGTAGCCATTCACCTTCCTGAAAATTAAAGAGGCAGAGCTTTTGGTAGTCAATATGCAAACCCTTTCCTTTGGATTCCTTCTTAGGTCTGGGGTTTGGTGGGTTTCTGATGGTAGAAGCTTTCACTACCACAGGTGCATATAAGTGCCAGGTTGGTTAATTTGCTCTGATGACCTTCTAATCAACAAGGTACCATAGATAATTCTACCAGCATTGAGATTCTGAGGATGCTATCGTGGGAAACTCCTTTTCTCATCTATTAACTTGAATGATGGTATATTTGGGGCTAGTGGATGAAGGCTGAGTTCCAAGAATCCTTGTCATAACAGGGACTGGTGGAATACATGCTAATATGAAGCATGTCGCTGCAGTTGAAAGGCCACCAGGTGAGCTGGAAGAAGCCAGTGTTACAATTCCTTTATTCCCTGGATGGATGTCTAGAGTGGAAGTTCCAGGCAGGAAAAAAAATCGCACTTGATCCTGCAGCTTCCCTGGGAGCTCAACTGCAAGAGGTCCTAACTGTTTGAATCATAAATTAGAGATCTCCCTAGAGCTTCCCAAAGTCATTGTCTTTCCTACAGGAGATGCAAACTGGAGTGTAAATATTGGGAAAACCTAAGGGTAAAAAAAAAAATTACTAGTTTTTATAGAAGAGAGTGTTATTCTAGGTGCATGGTGGACTTCATAACTTGGCAGTGGGAAGCAATGTGAGCTCATCAGTTCACAAGTATGGTTGGTCCATGAGTGAATGGAGATTATAGAAGGTTCTCTCAAGAAATGGGTAGGCTGTTTTGGCAACCGTGGATGGGTGAGAGTGGTCAGAGCAGAAGATGGGGCATTTTTTAAGAGCATATCTACTACACCAAGATGAGACTTTGTCCCAGGGGTGAAAGCAAGTCCATGGACAGGTGGAAGTCTCACATTCTGTAGGGTTACAGTTAACGTCACGCTGGACACATAGCTGCCATAAGTCACAGGAGATTGTAAACAGCTGGTCCATCATGACTTAGTTATAGTATTTCTGCCTGGGCCAACTTAGGGAGTACATACATACATACATACATACATACATACAACTTTGGTAGAAACCTAAGCACAAGAATCTAATGTATAGGAAGCCTCTTTCTAAAGCCAAGGGAAAGACTTATTTCAGGGTTCTTGGTTATGCTTGGACATAGAAATCTCAATGCTGATAGAGTTGGATGGTCATGTCTATGAGGGGCCATATCTTGAGAATTTCTTGTTCTCAGGAACACTTTCAGGTTCAGCCTCTTGGCTGCTTCCCTGTGCTAAGATTTCTTGGACAGTGCATCAGTTCACTGGCTCTCACACCTAGGGAGGTGTGACAAAATTGAACCAACTAAAGAATGCCATCCCTTGGAGCTAATGATGATTCATCTTGCTGGGGGTGTTTGAGGTACCTTATGTTGGTCAATGGCTGACTGGGTACTGGGTCTCAGGTGATGATATCAGGCCTTGAAGACTGACTTTAAGGTCAGAAAGTTCACCTCCCAACACTTACGGACTGTGGCCCTTTCTGCTCTTTAAAGAGACAGAGATGTCAAATGGCAAGACGCTTGAGAAAAGAACTGACAGTGGAGAAAAAGAGAAAGAGGCTGATGCTAGAAACCACATGGAGAAGGAGGGCTGTGTTTAGAAAAGGACTGAACTTGCAAAGTTCTGGATAGGGAGGATCCTAAGATAACAGGATGTGGAGAAGGGGGAAGGGCAGCTGGAGGCACAAGGGTTTGAAAGCAAAAGGAGAGTGCATGAATAAGAATAAAGGGAGGAAGGTGGGAGAGGGATACAGAGAAAGGGGACCGTGACCAGAGTCCAGTGTAGGAAGGAAGGCCAGAAGTTTTTCCTTATATCGAGTCAAAATTTTCCTCTGTGCAGCTTCTCTTCATTTCTTCCAGTTCTGCTCTCTGGGGCCAGGTAGAATCAATCTGATCTGTCTTCTGTGTGACAGCCCTATAAAGGCTAGAAGTCTGCTCTCATGTCAGGGCTATAGAAGCTCATCTGGTTACGTGAACTTGACATCAAAAGACTTACATAACATAGCTGCACTCTCCGCATCTTCCCGGGGCTGAGGCAGCAGCCACTCAATGCCCTTCAACAGAGAAAATCTCAGGACGACATGGTCCCCTACAAATGGAAAAATGAGGGAGGGAAACAAAAGCAAAACAAAACAAAACAAAAAACCAAGCATTAATCTCACTCCATTCCTCACAACTTTAAAAAAATGGTTTAGACCTGTGATTTCATTGAAGTAGGGAAACTTTCTGTTTAGGAAGCTCTCTTTATCAATGCTGTTGAGCAATCATTCTGTATCCAAGTTGCCGAGGGACATTGAGAGGCTAAATGACTTTCCTGTCACAGAACTAGAATGTCAGAGTTGGGATTTGAACTCAGGTCTTCCTCCTTTCAAAAAATCAAATTCTGGGGCAGCTAGATGACACAGTGGATAGAGCACTGGCTCTGGAATCAGGAGGACCTGAGATACTCACTAGCTGTGTGACCCTGGGCTAGTCACTTAACCTTGATCGCCTCGAAAAAAACAAAACAAACAAAAAAACCCAAAAGCCAACTCTTCCTATTTCCTAGGTGAATTTATTTAAGTTAATTATTAATAGGGAAGAATATGATTAAACTAGCTGACTCTGAAGTAGGAATGATGTCTAGCCAAATGAATGTTAACCTTTGCAGGGGTATCTGCAGTTTTTTTTTTTAACGCCATCAACTTCTTAATTGTATATTTAAATGGCAAAATGACAATTTTAGATAAATTATTAATAGTATATACTGCCATGAACACATTTCCTAAAAATTAAAAAAAAGGATTCATTATTATAAAGGAATGAATTGCCATTAGAAGAACTTTATGTAAAGACCTTTTTTCTTTTTTTTTTTGGACAAAGCACTCCTAAACTAGAGAAGACCACCTCATCTACTCATATCTTATAAGACAGAGATGTAATAGTGACTGGAGTCTAATACTTTGCCTCTAAGGGCCATGTGAGAAAAAAAAAAGTCAAATATCTCCTAGAACTTCCTGATACCTGAAATGCATTATATCTAGGTCATTTAGATATGGTAATCCAACACCAAATGACTCATTCCTTTCTGGCAAACCATCTCAATTGGTCCACAGCTTCTTCTGTTGCAGATCTTGTGCAGAGTGCTGCTGAAGGATCAGAAACAAGAAACCATGACCCAAGCTTACCTCCACTCCACTGAGGCTGTTTAGGAGATATGGTACCACCAAGGGAGGTGTCCTTGCTTTTCGTTCCCAAATAATGAAAGTAGGCACGCATTGCTCTCCAGTTAGAGTACCTGTGGGAAGAATTGCTTCTGGTTACAGAATGGAAATAACTAGCTAGGAATACTCACAGACAAAGAGGGTGGGTGGTGGTAATAGGACAGGAAATCTCTGTCTAATAAATAAAAGCTAAGTAAAAGTTGTGGGTTCACCTGAAGGGAATTTTTGGTTTAGGACCTCTTTCTAGCCCCAAGGACCACTGAAGGACTTGTATAAAGCAAACTGAAAGCTGCAGTGAACCAATATATGTTTGAGCAATGTATGTTCCTCAGAAGGCTTATGATACTAAGGAAAGTTCCAGGTGAGTTTCTGTTCTCCTCTGATCAATTGAGTTAAGCAATGAGACAGATACGAGCCAAAATTTAGTGGGCAGATGTATTAAATTACTTTGTATCTTACTTCAAATTATGCAATTTCTTAGTCACTTAAAATGATTATCAAATTTTGTTTTCTTTTAAATGAGTCATGTTTATGTAGAAAGATCATAAACATAGTTACATAATAATAGTAGAAAATTGTAATGTTTATCAGAGTCAGACAAATCTAAGAGTAAGAAAAAAACAGGGGCAGCTAGATGGTGCAGTGGATGGAGCTCCAGCCTTGGAGTCAGGAGGACCTGAGTTCAAATCCAGCCTCAGACCCTTGACACTTAACTAGCTGTGTGACCTTGGACAAGTCACTTAACCCTGATTGCCTAGCCAAAAAAACAAAAAAAGAAAGAAAAAAAACAAAAGGGAAAAACAGAATTGACCAAAATGTTAGAGACATTTAGAGCTAAAAGACTTATGGTACCTTCTGAATGGAATCACTAAAAAATACATGTGCTGTTTGTCACCACACGGCACATATGGTTTATCACCCCAGTTAAAGGTTAACCATGTATTGGGGAGTAGAGAAATTAGAAATAAAGATAAAAAGGCATAATTTTAAAAAGCATATCCTTTACAGACTATACTCAATAAAAATAGAAACAAGTGGATAGAGCACCAGTCCTGGCAAATCTGACCTCAGACACTTAACACTCACTGTGTGACCCTGGGTAAATCATTCAACCCCAATTGCCTCACAAAAATAAATAAGTAAATAAAAATGGAAACCAATTCAGGGAACACAAACAAAAGACAGACCTAAATGGAAACTTAATAATTAAATCCTAACTAAGGGTATGTCAAAGAACAAATGCTAGAAAAAATAGAATCTAGGTGTAAATAGCCAGTCTCCAAGGCACTAGCCTAGTAATCTCTAACCAAGAATTTCCCAAACTAACTTGCCACAGAATGTTCTGGGGCTTAAAACATATTGGATAGAATCTATAAGTATAGATCTGGAAATATGGAATACCCCTGGGATTAAAAAGGCCTATATTCAAAGTCATGCCTTTGATAATTAACAGCTGTGTGATCATGGGAAAGTCATTTAAATTCAAATTGTCCCAGTTAATTCTATTCAACTGTTATAGAGGAGTTCCTAAGGAAGAATGGCTGACCTGTAGTCATTCGTACACTGACGAAACCACAGATCTAGAACTGAACCTTATCGCCAAATCTGTCTTCTATGCCTCAGACTGGGTTAAGTTTTGAAAGCTGGTCTTTTCTTCCAGCTAATTTTCTAAATATCTTTAAATCCTCCAAGTTTCTTCTTCTTCTCCCTTTTCAGCTTTTTTCAATTTATTTTGGATCTCCAATATATCTACTGTACCATTGCTCTGTTTCTCATTCCTTAATAGTGAATTGATTTTCATATGAGCATTCACAGACCAAAAAAAACCACAAAACTTCTTTGATTTCTCTTTTGCTTCTGTAAAAAATAAAAAGCTAAAAATGGAACTAGATTTAATATCTGCAAAGCATTATACTGTTTGAAATTTGCAAAGGGCCAGATGTAGGCTTGATGTCAGCAAAAATTAAACAAAACCCTTCCTAACAACCAGAGCTGTCCCAAAGTAGAATGGGCACCCTGGAGAGCCAATGGTTCTCCCCTCATTAGAAGGTTTCAAACACAGGCTCAGTGACGGCTTGTTTGGAATGTTAAATTAGGAATTCCTTTGTAGATGGGTTGAACTGTGGGGCAACTGGGGCCTCTTCCACTTGGAAAATTCTGTGTTTCTGAGTTTTGGTCTTAAATTCAGGAGAGCAAGAGGTTAAATCCTAGCTCTTTCTCATACAAGTTGTGGGACCCTAGGTCAGTTTCCTTACCTATAAAATTGGTATCCTAGTACTTGGGCTTTGTACTTCTCAGGGTTGTGATAAAAAAAGTGATTTGTCAATGCTACAGTATAGCAGAAATGCCACAAAGATACTCAGAGGTGTGAACAGTACAAGACAAGGGAGAAAAAGAAAAGTAAATATGCATAATTACTGTTACTATCACATGTAGCCACTAACCTCCCCCCCAAAGCCTTGTCAAACTGAGGAAGTTTTGTAGAGTACTGTGTTTTTCTAACGCATTTTTGAATAGTTTTTGAGGAGACAATAATGAAATTGTATAAATATATATATATATATATATATATATATTCAAATTCAAGTAAGTATATGTGTGTGCATATATATGTATGTATGTGTGTATGTATTCAAAGAACTGTCCCATTTGTTTTTCAAAAGAACACAGATTTCCAGTTAAGATTACAATAGAAAAGGTTATTGAAAAGTCCAGCTCTCTCACATAAACCCTAATTCATATTCAAAAAGGACCCAAGAAAGATAAGTGATAAAACTGAAAAGGTTCAGAAGTAAGCTCCTCCATCCAGGCCCAAATTACACAAAAAGACAGTAAGACATTGATAGTAGTAGATAGAGGGGCCTCACCAGGGAAGCCAGGAAAGCCAAACTCAAGTCCTAATCAGAAGCTGGCAGAGCGGGGGAAAGGAGATGCATCAGGTCTCAACTCTGGTCTGTTAGAACAGAATCAGGAACAGAATTACAGGCCCCCCCCCCCAATCACTGTGCATTAAGACTTTGCAATTCTAGGAGCCCTGAGAGCAGTAGCAGAAGACAGTGTCAATCCGGCACCTGGTCACTATCTCCTGGGGGGCTATGTAGGAGATGTGATGACATCGTCATCTCTGGAATCCAACTAGGGCCTGGCAAGGCCACAGCAAATGATGGAGCCGACTTCCAACTGAGAATTGGGAAGGAGGAGAATACAGCTGAGGCCTGTCTTGATAGGATTTAATAAAGGTAAATTGAGGTACAGAATTCTGAGCTTTATTGGTTTATTAGCAGGGCACGAACCTGTTAATAAAGTGGGTCAAGTGCTGCCTCAGTTAAGCCAATGACCAGAGGAGGAAGCATAGCTCCTTTTATAAATATAGAACAAAGGACAGACCTTGGTAGGTAGAGAAAACAATGTGAAAGTTTGTAGGGTTGACAGCTTCATGGAGGTGGGGACAACATGACCGGTTACATCAAAGAAAATGGGCTAGCACCTACATGGGGCTAGCAACCTCCTATTTCTGTCATTAAGGAATGTTTAATTGGTTTATGAGACCTGTCAGCATCCTGAGGATGTTGTTAGTGGACCAGAGATAGCAGACTGCCTGGTTCCTAAGAGGGAGATAAGAACCTCTTTAATTGTACAGGGACATGGAAGGATGTGCAATATATCATCTGGAAATATACTAGGTCAACAAACACGTCCTGGAATTTTCCCAGGAACTACAGGAATGGTGGGTAAAGTTTTTGCCTTTAATTATAACTTTAAAGGAATTCAGAGGAGAAGGCGGAACTTTTAAATTTAGCTCATAGACAAAGAGACAAAAGAAATGTGGCTTCAACAATCCTTTAAAGTGGGGCAGTAATACAGAAATGGATCTATTACAGAATAGAATTGATCATAAAGTGACATAGAATCAATTTAATTTCCTCTATTTCCCCCTTTGATCAATGGGAGACAGGACTCCCATGGATCACCTCTCTATAAGATAATTCTATAAGATTTTTAACACAGTCATTATCATTAACATGTACTACCATGAGTCTCCCTTTTGATGAAAGACTGGATACATGCCGTAATATAGAAACTGAGGCAAAGCCTAGAAAGAATAACAAGACGAAGGACCCATTTACCAAGGGTGGCTGACAGGCCGTTCCCCTGGAGCCAAGTAAACCAGGAAGAGAAATTGCACCAGTTATCATGACCATCATTTGTTATGTGGGTTTCTCCTGTAATCCACTGAGTTTTGGACATGATCCACTGGAGATCATGAATGTTTGGGACAACTTCTGTCCTATTGATATAGGAGCAGCATGATTAATTAATAACAGCACAGTCTTCTCCCTGGAAAGCAGTGATAATGTGTAATACCAGATGATTTTGCATGACTACCTCTGCTAGGGAATTGATTTCCATCTGGAAGGAGGGGACAGTACTAGTGGTGTTAGCAGTGGCTGAGGTTGTTTCTTAGGCTAGTTTCTCAGCCTTCAGAGAAAGGTTTCTAATTGTATGTATTACTCTAGAAATCCCCAAAGAAGCAAATATATGCCAAAAAACTCCCCTCTGAATATGACTAAATTCTGCTGCAAAATTGGGATATTCTCTTGCACCTATGGCTCTTTTGCCACGTGTGTGCCACCGTGCTCTCAAGTTTCTGGTGGTTTCTTTCTCTATGGAGTAGTTAAAAACTAATACTGGTGAGACCAGGTGGGGTGATTCTGCAGGTCCTGTACCATCCTGGGGGAAAGAGGAGAAAAAGATAGGCCAAAGCAAACTTTAAAAAATGGGGTTACTAATCCCCATGGCAACTCTGGGATTATTTCTGATTTGCCGTCAAAGGCTGTGTTATTACTGCAAGGACTATTTAAAAAAAAAAAGGTTTCTAGGCTGGGGGGGTCATCTTTACTTTTAAAGAGGCTGGTTTTAGCACAAATTAATGAATGGGCATCATTATACTTAGGGATACTAAGAATGCAATCTACCTTATCTCCTACATCAGTATCTATTGTATGGATCTTGAACTTAATACAAAGAGGGAATGTTGGTGTCACAGTTTGTTGAGGAGTGATGGTATCCTGGT